ACAATGACAGAACATACCCCTGCAGAGCTGCACACAACTTTTCTCCTTGCTATCTGCCGGGTAACTGAAGATATACAAGTTTGAACCTATCGCCCGTACGGCATTCGGGCCAAATCAGCAATCGCGGCCAACGTGTTAAATAAATATGGCAACATTTTGTGACATTTCATTGTTGCTGGCGCGTAGTGCAGTGTTTTTTGAGTGATGTAAAGCAAACCAAACTCGAGTTGCGCGTACGGTGTATTTTTTTAGCCATTCATTTTTTGCTACGTCCTTAAAGTGTAGGAATATACCGCATTTACCCTAGTTGGACTCCAATACCATCAACAATGATGATATGATCATCCACATGATCCCACTAGATTCTGTACCGGGAGGCAGGAATGAAGCTATTTAATTCAGTTGCACGCTGGCTCTCATGACATGTAGTTCTGCTCGTCTGAACTCTGAATTGCATGCTTAGTGTGCATGATGGAAAACTCTGCTTTGCAGCGTATTTGTAATTACTTAATGAAGTTAAATTCATTGCCGTCAACTTGAGAGACAAATTTTCAACTAAATAATACTTTATATAAGTCTAATTTTAATTGTTGAGTGAAAGGTGCAGACATGCAACTTCCATGTAATGACTTTATAGAAACTGAGCAAGTTAGCGTACGTGTTTGAAGCCTTTAAGAAGTTCATTTTTCACTCAAATAACTCTTTTGGGTCAAAAAAGTGGTCTTGGTGGATCAAAATAATATAGGTATGAACCTTCAAAATTAGAATTCAACCTGAATTTTGAAACAAATAGGGTAAATGCGGTATATTCCGACATCGTAGGTAATTCCGTCACCTCTCCAGCTTTTCCTTTATATTAAGCTTTGTTTTAGTTCCATGCGTTCATTGATGGTTGAAATGGTGACGTCATACATTTGCGTGTCGAAATACTGCAAAAACACTAGGTCTTGGCCATCTAGTGGGAAAATATTGAGATCCAAAGAGAGACAATGCATGCCACATGGTGAGATCATCGAAAAATGTGTCAAATTTGACAGTTGACATGGCTCTACCAAATAGTGAATAACTGTTTTTATAGGAAGAATATTATGGTTTGAAACTTTTAAATACGTCTGTGAATATATTAGGAATCCTTTAAGTATACTTGTATTTGCTGATTTCAAGTGGTAAAAAATTAATAGATGATGATTAAGTTAAGAGACGGTTTCAGATACGTACATAAAAACTAATTCCGACACAGCTTGGAATTAGACACACACTGCTTGTTCCAAGCTGTGTGCAAAAATGAAAATTTTCCTAATTAAAAGCTTAATAGCTCTTAATTAAAAGCCCAATTAAGTACCTAGTGTTCAATATTCAATACCGTAAACTGGGGTAACTTAGACTCCCGGGGTAACTTAGACCACTTTTTCATGTGAAGGCAACAGAACTTACGTAACGCATACAGTTTTTTTTTATAGTTTTTCATTTCTTGATGCGTCCTTAATGTGTTGGAATATACCGCGTTTACCCTAGGGCCTTTCAGCTCGAGATATCGGCGTCTTTTCAAGCTCTCCATCAGCCACCTCCACCTTAAATTGGCGTCCATGGCTGATCATAAACTATGGCTCAGGCAGCCATGACCGATCATAAACTATAGATTGCTCAATCAGCCCAGCTGTCACCGCACCCACCTCCAGCTTGTTTGATTGCTTGTATCTGTCACCCGATCACAATGTGCGTTACCCTACTCTACAGCCTGGCTCAGAGGCTCAGACATACCGTAAAATGGGGTAACTTAGACCGGTGGGGTAACTTAGACCACTTTTCTCTTTTTTAACACAAACCCCCTCAACTCAAAAAATATTTGACATTGAAAAATTTTGTCAATGGGCATTAAAGGCCTAATACTGAGGCTACATAACACAATAGAAAGATTTGAAAAGTTTGCATATCTGATAGGTTAAAAAATTAAAAATGTGACCCACGAAAAAAAGCTATTATTTAAAGCCTGTCAGAGTACCCCCTCCAATTTTTTTATTTTTTGGTTAAATAACTCCAGGTTTTGATGCATTGTAGTAGAACTCTTCTAGTTACATATGCAAATGACAAATTTTAGGAAAGTGTCATAGTTTGCAAATGGGGGGCGCCGCCCCCAAATGGGGTAACTTAGACCACCTAATGTCAGCCCTGACGGGGTAACATAGACCGGCTTGGAAGTTAATATAAAATTACCATATATAACATATTTTATGTTTGACAGCCTATTTATGTTTTTTCTTTATGTTTCAGACTCTACAGAGTCTTATATATGGTAATTTTAACTTAATTTCCAAGCCAGTCAATATTACCCCATCAGGGCTGCCATTAGGTAGTCACATTTCCCTCATTATGGGGCGGCGCCCCCCATTTGCAAACTATGACACTTTCCTCAAGTTTGTCATTTGCATATGTAACTAGAAGAGTTCTACTACAATGCACCAAAACCTGGAGTTATTTGGAGTTATTTTACCAAAAAATATAATTGATTTTACCACCCGGTCTAAGTTACCCCAAGAGCTGGGGTAACAAAGACCATCACTTTTTTTGAAATTACATAAAGACTATGAGAGGCAGGAGCCAGCAATTTATGGTGAGTGAAGCTAGAGTATAGACCTGTATTTTGCATGTTTCAATTCAAGTTTAATTTAGCTAGTAAAAAAATGGCATCATTTATAAAATAAAAAGTGGTCTAAGTTACCCCATTTTACGGTAGTGACAAAAAAGCTAGCCTACGCCTAGGGCCTACAATTCTTTTTCATTGAAGATGTGATAAGACTTTTTGACAGTTTGTGAGCTTATAAATTCCTGACTTATTTTAAATTTAGTCAATGTACTGGAAAGTCAAAACTGGAATTGACTAATCCATCAACACCAATCTCACAAATTGTCAAATGTGGTGCAACAGCATTAACAGCAACACCATAGAAACAATAACACATTAAGCTAATAAAAAAATAATATTTCATTTCAAGTATATAGAGATAAAACAAGAAAAACAATAAATAAAATTAGCAAAACGTACCTTGTCTATTGCTATGAATAAGAGATCTTTCCATTTGTGAGCATTTCCTTCAAAGTCATAAGATGGCAAATCAGCTGCGCCACATGTAGCAGTGCTGCTGAACATTATAGACCGTCACAATCACTTATCAAAGTTGTGAACATCAATGGCACACGTATTATTTCCAAAACATAATTAGATTACCGAATATTGATTGCACCTCCCGAACACATCAAGTGCGATTACACAAGTCTTGTTTACAAGACAGACTACACTCATCGGCTGAGATCCACTTGATGGGGACATGGGGTAACCTTAAGAAACCTTATCTCGTCGTGACATTCAACCTATGAGAAGTAAATTCCCTCAACGTAGAGAAATTCATGCAAATTGCAGATACACTGAAAAGCAATTCAACAAAAAAAAAACAGTAAGAAGAAGACACATTTAAATATAAAAAATTGTAACAAGTATAATTATAAATTAGGTCAAAGTGATTTTCGCAGGAATTTTTAACAGGATAGTGATTTGTGGGACTTATATTTGTTGTCGTCAAAATCGAATTTTTTGCATCCACGAAATTATTATCCCTCTTATTCCTCAAGTGAGAGAAAAAAATTCATTGTTATTTGAGCGCTATGCGAGACACCAGGCATGGAATTTATTCTCTTACTTCTTATTCGACAACTAGGGTAAATCAGTAATTATTTATAGGGAATCTGATCGTGGGAGTTGCAGTAAAAAAATTCGTCTAGGTTTACCATTGATATTCATTGGCAAACTATCTAATATACAACTGGTGAATAAATTTATTATATTACTTGAATGAATTGTAGCGTTTTAACTATCTCTTCATATTCCTGCATATCTAAACCATCGCGCTAAATGAAAAAGACGTATTGTTTGTTTATTATATGTAACTACTAATTGCAAGTAAGAATTGCTTAAGATTTCAGCTTCGAAATTCAGCTAGTATGATTATTTTCTAAAATGGACTATATATCAAACACATTGCATGTTTTTTTTTATTAGCAGGTTGAACAGGCAAAATTTCAATTGGCAAATCATATAAAATCCCCGACTTTTCGATTGCACAATGGTAAAATCAAATCGGACTAATATGTATTAAAAAGAATCGACGATAGCTTTCATATCTACATCATTTGTAGGTATGAATGCGCCTGAAAATTTGTTTGCGATCATATTAGAATAGAATAAAAGTGTCGGCACTGAAGAAATAGGCCCATGGCCTGTATCCGATTCTTGAATTTTTCGTGACTTGATTCACAAGGGGACCGGCCTTTGGAAACCGATCTTTCCAAAACTGACGATATATTGAGATAGCTGCTGGACTTATTGCCTGGTCCGTAAGTTGCTAGGCATTTTAAGACTGAACATATGCTCCTGCATAGCTTTGTCTAGTCTGTTCTTGAAGGCGTTATACCTGGCAGATCGTGTCATTAGTAAATTTGACGAAAATGCTTTAACATTGTCAAGATGAACGCATTAGAAGAAAATCTCTCAGTGAGCATTCTTGCTAAGCTTTCAATTTCAACATGGGAGATTCATAATGCTGTTTTAACCTTCTACCGCCTAATTTGAGTAAACAGAGCAATATTATCACAAGCTTACTTTTGAAAAAGGATACGTTCTAGACTCTAGAGAGTGCAAAAAGACTAGCACTGATAATTGCCGCAAAGTACGACAACTTTAAATGTTCTCTGTAGCGTACAAACGTCCTAAGGTTGCACTCAATTGTTTACGTATAATTCTAGTAGGAAGTGGATAAATTCAAGTTGAAAGTGGATTGTGAGCTAGATAAATTGGAATTGGTACAGAATAGAGTGGCGAGATTGGCACTAGGAGCCCCCAGGTGGACTGCGGTAGAGGCCCTGAGAGGAGACATGGGATGGAGTACCTTTAAGGAAAGAAGAATGAGAGCAGTTTTGATGTATAAAGTGAGACTGGAGCGAATTGACGATGAACGTTGGGCGCGAAAGATGTATATGCGGAACATGAAGGTGAGTAAATGGGCACGTAGATGTCGGGCAGTGGTGCTTAAGTGTGGTATGCATGAAGCATGGGTGCGCCAAAAGCCCGCTGGGCCATAGGCCAAATGGGTGGTGACAGTACGGGGTGCAATTGGGATAGAGTTGGATGAAAAAGAGTGGAAAAGAGAAATAAAAACGCGAGTTATAGACTATGGGCTGAACGTGTGGAAGCAAGCAATGGAGGGAAAGGACACTCCAAGACTGTATCAGATGAAAGCAATGTCAAAATACGAATGTATGTATGATGGTAGTAGAGGTGGGGACCTTCTGTTTTGTGTTAGGACAGGGGCGCTAGGTGTGAATGGACGAACATACAAGTGGAATGAGAGGAGGGAAGGTAGATGTTTTATGAGTGATGGGATAAGAAGGAAACTGTGCACCTGTTGATGGAATGTGTGGCGTATGAGAGCGTCAGTCTATGATGGTGATTCTGAGAGAGGTGAGATTAACAAAGTGGTGTATGAGAGAACAAGCGAAGAGTGGATGACAATAATTATGGGTCTGTCTGAGGGAGCAACTGCGGCTATGTTTGAGAGTGTGAAGAGATATTTGGAAAACTTGTGGAGGATTAGGGAGAGGAGTATGAAGAGAGTGGGATCTTGAGGTATATAGGGCTGAGAGAAGGGAGGGTGGGAAGACAAATGTGACCGTGCCGAATTGTTTAGCAAGTTGTTTCTTTAGGATGTTGCACAGCGAAATTAAGCTTTTTTTTCTTAGGATTGCTGTGAATACGTTTCATTTGTTAACATAGGAGTGTGAACTTTCAATTTTTTGACGATAGGAAATGAGCTTTTATGCAGCGTGTATGACCGATTTAATGGTCGTGACCGGAGGTCACCACGCACCCCAATTCCAAAGTTATGTTCCCGGAGAGTGACATACGGCGGTAGTGGATTAGATAATTCGTCATTACCTTACAAACTTCATCCATATTAAAATATCCTCAACCTTAGTTTGAGAATATGAGAATTGAAAGGCAGAATTCAAAGTATTACACAAGCGTATAGGGGACAAACAAACCTCAACACGCTAAAAAAGTTTAATATACTTAATATTTGAACTTTATTTATTTATAAATATATAGTCAGATCTATTGTTGAAAGTATAGCTGCCACAGAGCAGCACAATTTTTGGTCAACATGGCAGTGGCTCACGAGTGCCGTTAGAGCTTGGCATCCACATGCACAAAAATAATCTAAGCAAAGAGATGAGAATTGAACTTTTTCTCATTTAACGAGCATAATAATACTTTATACAAAAGATTTCATTTGAAATTCGCCGAATTATGAATAATACACTTATTAATAAAAAATATCTTCGAACACAAAATATACGAGGGAACCGATTTTCCAGACTGACAAAAATATTGAAAAGTGTTCATAGTAAATAACTATCGGTAAATCAAACGCCTATAAAAAAAATGTGAATACCGGTTAAATTGCTTTATAAACGCCTTCGCTTAAAATTACCGAGTACTTCTTACAAATTAATTAGTATGTAAAAATGAGAACCGCGATATTTCTATAAAGTTAAATCACATACTTGGATTGCCAAATTAATAATAAATAACAACAGTAATAATAATCCAAGAGAGACAAATGTAGAGGAAACGAAATGTTCAACTACGAGCTTTACACTATTAAAAAATGGCAGTTTCTTCGGGCAACTCAATTACCATGATCTGTTTAAAAATTATAAGCCGGACTCTGGATTCAGTAATGAATTAGCTACCTACTGACAATAGCACTGAGAAATGCTACTAAGACTTCATTTTCGAAAATTTAGTTGAAAGGGATAATGGGATTTGTCCGTGCAAGGGATAGTTTTTTCCCACGAAAAAGGCAATATTGTGAGACAAGAGACAATATTGTGAAACAATAGAAACTACCGTATCTGCGCTAAAAACTTCGAGCTAAGGCCGTAACAATAACACTACACATATAATCTATACATAAAATAGAGAGCCTATATTTTTATTCGATTTTTGGAGATACTGTAACCACTAAAATTGGGTCAAATGTCTCAAGGAACATTCTCTCAGATTTTTCAGAGCGTCAATCATATGTATACCAATTAGTCTCAATGACACTTTTACATCTTTTCGAGTAATTATCAATACCACAAATTTAACTACTCTTTAGACTTTCTGCCGACCATGTAGAACTGTGGTAAGGATGTCTTGCTGGGCTGGGGTGCCAGTCTTGAGGCTAGTTCAGCAAGAGGTTCTAAGAGGCTGGAGCGGTTGTGCACTGATGCGTCGCAGTGCCGCAGTCGCTCAGCTGCCGCCCATCGTTGCGCTGCTTCACGTACGGGAGACACTCGTCCATCGCTGCGGCATCCGACTATCACAATAATTGCCTGTGTACGTCAAGAAAGAAATACAAATAATGGTTTGTGAACAATTAAGCGGTGTTAAACTTTAACAGAATCCCAAAGTCAAGGGAACTGTAATAGTTGAAAATTAATTATACATCCAGAAAATGCAGGTGACAATAAAGGGCATTTTTCTTTGGTGTTAAAGCCACATTTAGCCTGACACCACAAATTTTGAATTTAGAAGACCAAAAATTAATTATTTTTTATTAATAAAACAATATGAAGTTTCCCAATAACAATCAATTCAAAAATTTATTTGTAAATTAGTGTGTAATTCACAGGTATTTTGACAAGTTAGTACTAAAAATTTGTAAGGTGTGTTGCATACATTTCCACTATGTAAAACAATAAAAAGGAATAAAAAGATGTAAGATTAAATAAAATTCATGAGCACAAAATGAAATATGAAACGAATCAGAAATTAGTAAGAAGGTATTCACGTACGTAGATATACTCACATCTTTCTTTTCTTTGTGCTTATCAATATCTTTTTTGACCTCCATGATCGCCTGTAAGGACGTCATGTCGAGGGTAGAATACACTAGCATGTATGCGTCAGCAATGCCATGATGGTGCGAGTGCAGTGCTTTGGGGCCTCGAACATCAAGCCCTGCTGTGTCATAAAACCTTAACTTCTCTTTAGTGCCTCGGTCAGTCTCAACCAAGCAGACGTATGTATCTTCTATTGTTGGAATATACTCCTGCACATATTAAACACTGAGTGAGATAAATGATTCAATGTTCTAAGCATTTGACATGCTTTTTTGTGTCTTGTCTGCTAGATGTTACAAGCTTTCTCATGAACAATATACAAAATTTTTTATGAAAAAATTATAATGCTAATTATGTATTAGACTCCTGCGTCTCAAAATAATTTTCTCAAAATGAACCGGGACAGACGAAACGAGACGAGAAAATTCCGGGAAAAAAATAACGGGACAGAGGGCACAATTTCTCCTGGAATAAACGTATGAACCGAGACATGACTTCTGTCCCAGACTTAAAAACTTGTGTCCCGGTAAATTATGAACCGGGACGAGACAGACAGATTTGAAATGAGACATAACGAGACGAGATTTGTCTTAATTATTTAAGACAAAACAAGTTTTTCGATTATGATACGAATCATTTCAAAAACATGGGTTGAAGAATGACAATTTAGCCCTTTATTGCTAATAGGGCCATAGACAGTTACCAGTTAAATCGAGTTAATTGCAGATTTAGCAAAATTTGTCTGACTAACTGACATGGCAGTTAATTAGTGGTCCGACAAACACCGCAAACCTGTCGATGCAAGTATGGCTGAGTATAGAGTCAAAAATGTTACTCTTAAGTCTTAACTAAGGCTTCGATGGCGCTTATGGGAACCGTACGAATATGAGTCAAGTTTATTACGCGTTCAGAACAAGTTCGGGCGTCGTGGAGCGCATAGGGAGTAGGGACGCAGTGTCTAGATTAGTCGGCCAATTAGTAGACAGTGGAGTGGAGTCCTGGTAAGATATTCCTAATAATACTAAAGCTAGTATTGGATTATCTCTGCCTTTAGTAAAATTTTGTGCTACGCCTCCAGGATATCTTCACAATTGCGGTTTCCTGAATTGTTATCAAACACTTGGGCTTGTTTAACGTTATTCAGAAAGGATACACATGGATATTTCGAGTTCTTTTTTGAAGATGAAACTATTATATTTTTTCCAACTTAAATTTTGTTGTATTTCAAATGTTGTTGATATTTCTTTCCAAACTTTTTTGTTGAAGGAGATTGCTTAAGGCAAGATCGATGAATCTGATTCTGTGATTGAGCTGGAGGCAAATCAAAGTCTGTACAGTCATCCGATGTCACCAGCTACAGCTAGTATAGCCTCCTCCAAACCATCATAGAACACAATTTTTGAAAAAAACGTGTTTTTCCATTTTTATTCGCCTGTCAAGATCAAGTACCATATTAAACCACAACATGTATTCGTAGCAAAAATCATTTCAATTGCCGAGCTCTAATCTGAATAGTAAAAGGATACGTCTCAAGTTATTATATAAATGCAGAGGTGGGCAGTAGCGAGCTTCATGTAGCGGTAGCGCCCGCTACATATTTAAGTAGCGATACGAGGTTTTGTCGCTACAGCGCTACTGCTACATTTATAGATAAAGCCTTTAGATTTTACTTAATAGTAATAAATATTATTTAAAAACAAGCATGATACAAACGTAATATAAATTACAGAATAAAACTGTACGAAAGATTTCGGTGTAATGTTGTCAACCTCAGCCTGTTACTAGTGTCAACATGTTAGTTGTTACCAGAGGTGGGCAGTAACGCGCTACATGTAGCGGCCGCTACATTTTCGGTAGCGGCGCTACATTCAAGCAATTATAGAGGTAGCGGTAGCGCCCGCTACATTTCGAGAATGTAGCGGTAGCGGCAGCTGCATTTCAAAGTAGCGCTGCCCAGCTCTGTATAAATGTTTGATGGTAAGCCAAAGTTTACACCACATCAATAATTGATTCGTCTCGTAAGGTCTCGTTAAAATGGCTATAAATTCCGGGAAATTTTAAGGTACCTATTTTAGCAGGGATGTCTCGTCTCGTCTCAGTATCGTCCCGGAATTCCTATGAAGGGCTGAAAATTGTCCTGGTTTTTATTGCGAACCGGGACAGAGCCTGTTGTCTCGTCTCGGATAAAAAAAAACCAAACGCAGGAGTCTATTATATATGGAGTCTCAGCAGTGAAGGGGCAATTTTTTTGAAGAGAAAATATAATCTAAGACATGTCTAGGATGAAAAATGAGAGCTGTGCATTTAATAGGAAATATTTCACAGAATGCATTGAGTAGGAAAGACATATAGAAAATATAAGTTCAAATTATTGGCGATATTCACACACCTGAGTAAAAAAAACTTTCCGCAAACATTTAGTACTTATTCTTTCCATATGGTAGGAAAGTAGTTTGTTTCTATAAAGTAGTTATTGATAAATGTTATTTTTGTATTGAAAACTTGTAATAGGTACAAAAAATAGGACCAGATTCTTAGGGAAACAATAATGTACAAATGAGATTATAAAAACCTTTAATTGACAAAAGTAAATTTACTTGCATACCCGATCAGTAATAGTGTTGGCAAAAATTGCACATTCGAGCAATGCTGTCTTGCCCACACCTTTGAGGCCAGACACAATCACCCGACTGCTCCTGCCCATTGCGCTACGCGCTCCAATGGCTTTAGAGTAGAATTGGGACCAGATCCTGAAATGGATAGAAAAATGATGTTTGCATCACTAGACTTGAGCTTAAGAAAGCTATTGTTTCTCATAGGGCTATAGAAACAGAAAGCTATATTATGGGGCTGATATTACAATTGTGAAATGGCTTCTTGATAAGGAGATTGTGCTGAATTGCTTGGCTTAAAAAGTGTATTTTTGTTCAAAAAATGTTTAAATTCATGGTTCAAAAGAAAAATTTTTGGCTCAGAGATTCAGAGCATAGATGTTTTGCAAATCCCCATTGGCTCTAGAAGGCAATATGATTAAAAAAAAGGTACTACTAAGACATTCTAGGAGACTAATAAACGTTTATCGTTTCTGTTTGTGAAAAATTTACAATAGTATGAAAATTTTTATTTTTTACCTTTATTTACCTTATAAACTTTTTGCAGAGCTTTTCAAATCACAAACAATTTGCACTCTAATTTTATGACAGATAAAATATTTCTCCAGAAATCATCAGAGAGATCCAATTTTGAATGATAATGATTGAAATTTTTTGATAAAACCATTCTATACAAATGAAATGTTAAAATTGTCTACCATCAATAACACAAGAGTTGATAGTCACCAGACGTGACTAGAGTATATATATGTATTGTATATACCTACTACTTGGATATATTTTGCACTAACTGCACTCAAAGTCTCCTCCTTGAAAAAAATCTATGTATATAACACTGGTCAGAATTGGAATTTGTAGGGTTCAATTACCACTTTATAACTACAAAGCTTTTTAAATTGCATTAGAATGTTGTGCTTCAGTTTTGCAAACAAAAATACCTGCTCTAAAGCAACATATTCCCCAAAAATTGGCATCCTGCAGCTCGACATAGCACTTTGTTAAAAATTAAATAGGAGACAATATTTAATTGGATTATTTCGTAAGTTGAACCCAAAGTATTGTAGTATGTCAAATTCAAAACCCATAGCACAGGTTATATAAAAATTAAATGATAATCATATTTGGGGTTTGGCTAGGATTTTAGGCCTATATGATAAAAAATGTAACTCAGTACCCACTGCAGTGAGTGATAGAGAGCGCATTTTCTCATCAACAAAAACGTGAAGTCATGGATGGACAGATGGATGGACGGACATGGCGAGCACAATAGTACATTTTTTCATAAACGAGAAAATGCACTAAAATGAGATGAAAGTAATGAATAATCAATATAAAATGGCAAATTTGACAAAAGGGGCATAACTTATGATACACATTCTAAATTCTAATGCATAAGAAATTCAGACTGCATGTAAATTTTCAGCCTAGCAAAAGTAGGTAGTAAGAAAAGTCAAGTTACAATTTCAAATCATTGCAGAATGCAGCAGACAGAACTTTTCCACATCTACTCAACATCTAAATCAATTACTTATTAATGTTGTATGATAATGCTGGTATCCAAGATACTGTACTATGTACTTACTACTGTACTAGTGACAGTCTAGTGTACTCAAAGGACTCAGAAATGAACTTAAGTATGGGCAACAAAAAAAAATTTTTTTCCACTATGGACTCACAACAAAGGTCAAAAAATGTTGCATAAAGTTGCATAAGCACAAGCCACAATGCACATTAATTTGCAAAAGAACAAAACTTGAAGATTGAGTTGCCTCAAAGTAGGAGCCACAGCCAAGGCCAAGCCACCCACAAGCACAAGTCAGACAAAAATGCCCATGAAATCAGCTAATTCAACACCTTCCTGACTTCCTGTGGCCCTTCTCTGATTTCTCCTGTTAAAAATGAGAAAAAAAGCCTAGCCTATTTTTACTCGCAATTTTCAAAAAGGGATGAAAAGGAAAGTTTTGCAGGCTATTATTTCAGATGGGTAGAAGAACAAGTAACACTAACAACTAATAAGTCCACTGTCCATATATCATATATATATATATATATATATTCGCAATTTTCTTATTAGTTTTTTCAATATATCGAACAATATTTTTAGTTTGAACTGGCAAATCGAAAATCAGGTTACCGATGGACATTTTTATTTCGTTAACGACGTTTCGAATGTTTCTATCATTCATTATCAAGTTAAAAGGCGCATTGAGTGATGAAATTAGTGATGAAACCCACAGATGCCGGGAGAGTCCTTAACGCCGCCAGCGAATGCCCAGAGCGCTACAAAAGAAGCGCAATAAGTGCTCTCATCCAATGAACACTCAAAACCTGCTCCTCTGAAAATGATTTGAATACGGAGCTGAAAAATTGCAAAAGAACCTTAGTCAATATTTGCAAATAGAACAATTGACAAGGAAATTTCAAAGCTTCGATTGAACCAAAACAGACGCAACCATGAACCAGAGACTGACGCAAATGTCACAACCATCTACTATGAGAACCAAATGACCAGCGGTTATAAAGCAGATGAACGGATCCTTCATTCTATCGTTCACAACAACATCGTGAATGTAACTAATAATAAAATTAAACTGCTGATTTATTACAAAAACAAGAAAATACAGAATCTTGTAATGAACAATAACCCCTGCAAAAAACCGGGAGTTTTCCAAGAGACCAATGTAGTCTATAAATTTTCTTGCAATAGAGAAGGTTGTAGACTTCTCCCCAATATGGACTACATCGGGCTCACAACTACGACATTAAGCCGACGTCTCACGTGCCACCTTCAGTCTGGTGGACCAAAGAACCACCTAATGGAAGCCCACAACGAGACCATCACTCGTACGGTGCTGGAAGAATGCACCAGCGTCGTCATGAGATGCCCCGACGCCAACCGACTCATGATAGCTGAGGCCCTCATCATTAAGGATAGGACCCCAGCCATCAACCTTCAAACTGCTGGATTTGTCAGAACCTT